AATGTCCAGCGTGTAATGAGGTCAGTACACGGTGTATTCTTCAGGCATCACCACCTTTTCAGTTAAAAGGCTGCTGGTTCGATACAATAGATTTAAACCGAACTGTTAAAAGAAGAAAATGTGGACCGTTACGGCGGAAGACGTTCACTCAGAGCGACGGTTGGCCTGCTTTCATCCTCACTCCGGTCTCTGTTACCAGGCAACGCATCCCTCCTCCGCCCAACCACACACTGCAAAATGAAGCACAGCTGATCCCCTTTGATGTTTTCAGTAGACCCCAGATCACTGTCAGACCACCGGACTGATCCGGATCGATCGACCACACACACCGATGTCCGTGTTCGCCCTTTCCCGTGTTTACGCGCCCACGTCATAGGCTGGGACCTCACCCAGCTCCCCGCTGTCCGTCAATCACGTGGTCAGCGGAAAAGCGCCACAAACAGGGCGTGAACTTTCAAATTAAATTACCTCTGCTCAAGGACATGCTGTTTTTCGTAATGTATGGAAGCTCGTTGACGCCAATAAAAAAAAAAAAAACTTCTTAAAATATTTTTAGACTTAAACAATATTGTAAACATTATTAGTAATAATGCAGAAAAAAATCAAGATGATAAATTACAATTATGAGATTAAAAGTCAGAATTATGAATCTAGTAATTCAAACTATGAGACAAATTATGAAATTAGAAAATAATAAAAGTATCTGAAAACAATAAAGTTATGAGACAAAGAAAATGTATGAGATACAAAGCTAAACTAATTTATAAAACATAAAATCATCAGATTAAATATTGTATAAAATTTCAATATATAATCTGAAATATGTAAAATAAAATTGCCTCACAGAGCTGACAGCGTGATGCGTGTCCCTCTGAAAGCCCCATCTGAGAACCAAAGGACTGAGTGCATTTACAGCAGCTCTTAACTGCAGTGCACTGGAAAACGAATCAAATCAGACATGTAGCGCTCACACACACATATAAAAACCAAAGCAGAGCTTCATGAGCATGTGGAGAATATACTTTTATTAACAAACATGTATAATGCTTATTAAACAAGTCACAGTAAGTATAGATATAAAACAGATGAATAGTTCAACACTAGTAACTTCAGTCCATGTGCTGACATGTTTAGAGACTTTGGTGGAAGTCAGATCGTTGGTCTGATCGCTGCTCCACAGCACACACAGGTTTTATATTTCACTTCATTTAAATTTCAGCTTCAGCTGCGAAAGCAGAAAGACCCTGACGTTTGCATTTACCATCACGTGTGAAATTTGATTTTGTGCGATGTGATGCAAAATTTCATCCTCTAGAGGATGCTATTGTACCATTTGACATCACAATTGTTTCTGTTTGCACTGACTGAATATTATTTTACATATTTAAACAACAATAAATAGGATCTATAAAAGAAAAAAGAAGAAAATGGCTGTGTGCAACTCAGACACATTTAGATCTAGAAAAATGAAACGTTTCTGTTAATTCAGAGAAAATGCACTGTTTTTGTGGACACACTTCAAAATCCACAGAAAAAAAGATCAAAACAAGATGTTTTTTTTTTTATCAAGTATGAAAATAAAACAAGAAATTCTCTCGTTTTAGATGGTTTTTCTATCATGAAAAAATATTGCTATTTCAAATTGATCTGATAAAATAAAATTTTGTTAATTTTCTTTTCTTTAGTAAAAACAAAGATTTGCTGTCATTTAACAGCTTATCTGCAGTAAAGACAACAGAGAAAATATTGTTTTCTATCTTTAAAATGAAAGTGAAAGAAACGTTTTCCTATAAAAAAGGTGTATTTTGTCTGTTAAAGAGCACAAAAACACATTATTTATGTTATCATAACTAATGTAATACTCTGTTTAGCCACAAGAGGCCCAACACAGACCTTGGGTGATGAGGTCCGGCTCATTTGGCTTTCACATTCATCCCAAAGGTGTTGGATGAGGTTGAATTCGGAGCTCGGGGTTTGAGGAAAACCTTTTTCTTTTCTTTTTTTCGAAGGAACTCTCTACTTGTCACTAAACATTTAAACGTCACTACACTGCAGCTATAAGGTCTGACACATAGTATAACTATATCACATATAATACACATAATATAATACAGAATTGAATAAATGTACTAATAAAGGTAAAGACTACACATGAAAGCGCTGGTGTACTCTGTGCTGTATTTCACACACAGTCAGTGTCTCTGTGTGGCTGCTGGTTCAGCGCTCAGAGCTGCAGATGGAGGCGAGTGTCCTGCTCGCTCAGTGGTCAGTGTGTTTGTACTGCAGGCTCGTCCCGTGGTGGAGAGGCAGCATGCTGTTAGAGAGAGAGCCAGAGTAACACCAGCAGCACAGACAGGACTGCAGAGAGACAGACAGACAGAGGGGAGTCAGGTTAAAGG